TCTATGTAGTAAAACAAATAAGACAAAATTATTGGCACACAAACTTTAAACCCCTATTTTAAAAAATTACCAGGTTTTGTGTTGTGCCACTACTGCATACAGCCAGCGATATGGTTAGTATGTTTCATAATAAATCATTCACTCGATTTCCAGAAGAATAGAAAAAGAAGAGGTAAAGCAGATGGGAGTATTTTAACATTAAGGAATTTTTTTAAAATTTATTTTTAATACGTAGGCATGGGCTAAAGATTATTAAAAAAAATTACTAGAGACGATAATGCTACAAATAGTTATTGACGTTGTCTTGTGTAGGATGTGCTGAACGCTCACTCTTAATGATTAAGTGAAAATAACGAACAGAGTACGCATTTGTTTATTCATTCATTCAGAATGAAAAAACATGCGTCACTGGTTAGCAAAAACAAATCTGAGACATTGCTTCCAATTTTAAAGTTGTTGTGGATTTTTGACCTATTGCGTTAAGGCAATAAAAATATAAATGATTTGCTGACTAATAAGTATACCTGCCTTTGTTTATAAGTATGCTATATAATAGTGTTGCATATCTCTTTGATGACAGGTAGACTGTTCATCATCATCAACTAGCCTCTAACGTCCACTGCTGAATATAGGCCTCTCGCATGCTTTTCCACTTAGTCCGATTTTGCGCCATCTGAATCCAATTTGTAGGCACTCTTTTTATGCCATCTGTCTATCTCGTTGGAGGTCGACCTCTATTTCTGTTAGCTTGTATTCGGGATCTCCATTCCAAAATTATTTTTGTCCACTGGTCATCAACTGATCTTGCTACATGACCTGCCCAGTTCCACTTTAGTGTTGTTATCCTTTCAATAACGTCTGCTACTCCTAATCTTTTACGTATAGTAGCATTGGGTACTCTATCACGTAGAGAAATCCCTAACATTTTTTCTCCATTGCTCTTTCCGCAACTTGTAGTTTACTCACTGTTGTTCTTGTGAGTGTTAGGGTTTCTGCGCCTAACTAGGTCATCACTGGCAAAATACACTGATTAAATACTTTTATTTTCAGACACATTGGAATCTTAGACCTAATAATATTCTTCATCTTTTCAAATGCAGCCCAAGCGAGGTTTATTCTTCTTTCAGCTCGATTGTTTGGTTGTCTCTCGACTTATTCTGATCTCATGGCCCAAGTATTTATAGAAGTCAACTGGCTCAATATCTTTGTCTTCTACTGAGATGTTTTTATTGTGTACTAAATTTGTCATGAATTGTGTTTTTGAAAAATTTATTTTAAGACCAACTCTTTTTGTGGCAGTATGAAGTTCTTGGAGCATTATCTGTGCCTGATCAAATCTGTCTGCAATAAGAATGATATCATCTGCAAATTTAAGGTTATTTAAAAATTTTCCATCTACATTGATGCCCTTTTCGTTCAAATCTATTGTTTTACAAGCGTATTCTAGCAAAGTTGTAAATAATTTAGCCATTCAGGCAATCAATGATGTTTTATATAAAGAGCATATTATTAGAGATGCCTAATTTGTTACCATTCTTATAGTATGCAGACGTAAATTATCAGACATACGAGATACGTTTGGGGACGAAATTGTTCCCAATAAATGTACCAAATGGAACTACTTCTTCTGCCAAAACATCCTCTATATACCGGTGAGGATTCAGGGGACCATTGATAAAAATAGGTTCAAATAATCTAATGGGTCAATTACCCAGATCACAAGTAGTAGCATTCAGACCTTTTCTTAATTGCTGTATTGATTATGGTGGTCTATTTCTGTTAAGAACAAGCAACCTAAGAAATTATAAAATTGTTAAGAGTTACATTTGTATATTCACTTGCTTTGCTACTAGGGTAACTCATATTGAATTGAAAAAGACTGTAAGACTTGTACACACTTCTAAATAGGTCTAACTGGTAAGCTGGTTTTGTATGTTTTCAATAAAATTGATAGTGTGTAAATTAATTTATTAATTAAGCTAAGTATACTTTCGACATAATAAATGTCATCATCAGAGCTATCGTCAATTAGGCAATAAATACTTCATAGAAGGAAAATTGTGGACAAACGACATATTAAAAATCAAAGATCGGGCTCTGTAGGCCACAGATCTTGGGTCTAACCCTTATACATATGTATAATTCACATTAAAAAGTTTTTTATAAAAACATGGTTACCACATACAGTAACGACAACAGCTGTCTTTGACTTACATTTTTGAAGTAAAATGAAAAACATTTTTCATTTTACTTCTATGAAGTATTTATTGCCTAATTGACGATAGCCCTGATGATGACATTTATTATGTCGAAAGTATACTTAGCTTAATTAATAAATTAATTTACACAATATCAATTTTATTGAAAACATACAAAACCAGCTTACCAGTTAGAGTCATATTGAATTGGTTTATGAGTTAACTACAGAGTCATTCTTAAACTGTTTTAAACGTTTTGTTGCTAGAAGGGGTCTCTGTCAAAACTTGTACTCGGATAATGCTACAAATTTTGTGGAAGCAAAAAATCATTTGAAGGAACTGTACTCATTTATAAGTGATATAAATGTTAAGTCAAGGTTTATTGAGCAGTTTGTTTATCACCAAATCATAGGAATTCATACCTCCCCACTCTCTCCATTTTGGCGGGGTATGGGAGTTAACTATTAAGTCTGTAAAATATAATTTAAAAAGGATATTGGGGGAAAACAAATACACATATGATGAGATGTATACTTTCCTGACACAGGTTGAATCATGTTTAAATTCACGACCCCTCTTACCATTGTCCAATGATCCACTTGATCTTGGTGTACTCTCCAAAGGACATTTTTTATTTGGAGATTCCTTAATGGCTGTACCACAAGGGGATCTGACAAATGTCCATACAAACAAACTCAAGGCAAAATAAATGCCCTTTATAACGATACATGAGGGGAAATTTGACCTTGAAACGCCGCGCTGGCCAAGTGTGTTGGTGAGTTTTAGAGTTGTAGTAGAAGGAAATATAGTGACTCGCCTGCCTTCGGAAACCTAATCGCCATTAGGGATCGGAAGAAACAAGAGTTAGCCAAGAGGGGCTAATAGGAAAGATTAAAGACAATTCACTCAAGACAAGTTAAAAAAGAGTAAAATGTGAAGGCTCTTATGATCCGCCAGGTGCGTTTCATAAGCGTATGAGTATTAATTCATTTTGTGTTCCAGCTCATACCGTTGTGTTGACTACAGACTGTATGGCTCGTCCAGCATGCCATAGCATGAAGAATAGGGTGCAGGCCATTTTTACAAACTTGACACCCCACTCCATGGCCTGACTAACCTGTAATCGTCTGATATACCAATATGCCTTAAAAGAAAAACCTTTAATCAGTGTGTTTTGCCAGTGTTGACTTACGGTGCGGAAACGTTGACCATGACAAGGGAAACAGTTCAAAAGATCCGTGTGTGTCAAAGTGTGATGGAGTGTGCTATGTTGGGCGTTTCACTACGAGACAAGATCCCAAATCGCCAGCTACGACAAAGAACAGGAGTGGCTGATGCAGTAGAGAAAGTAACAACACTGAAATGGAACTGGGCAGGTCACGTGGCTCCAATGACAGATAATAGATGGACAAAGCAGATACTGGAATGGAGACCAAGAGATAATGCCTACTGAAGCGGAGGTCGTCCACCAACATGTTGGACTGACGATCTAAAACGTTGTCATAGGAATTGGATGCAAGAGGCACAATATCGAAATAGATGGAAAATTATAAGGGAGATCTATGTCCAGCAGTGGATAGGCAAAAATTGAATGATGATAACGATACAAAATCAGGCGTAGATTCAGTAGACGAAAAATGCACAAAATACTCGTGCAATCGAAGAACCAGGCGCTGGCCGTTGGCCATATTTTCTAGAATAATCGATATGAGTGCATTAAATACATATATCATTCACCAAGCTTGTGCCAACAGAACAAAATATACAAGATTAGAGTTTCTGAAGATTTTGGCACAACAACTATATGAACCACTTCTTCGAAAACGAGAAATTAACCAAAAGAGAACTAAAACTCAGCTTTCAAAAGGTGCTAAGAATAAATCCAACCGAAAATGACGATCATACAGATACCTTACCCAGGAACGCTAGGAAGTACTGCTATTTATGTAACCCAAAATTAAAAAGGAAGACAAGTTTTCTGTGTACATACAGTGAAAACAGCCGATCTGTTTGCAATGTAGCAAAAAAATGTGTAGTGAATGTATAAATAAGCGTAAATAAATGTGATCAACTGGCCAATTTTCAGGTCTTGCACAATTTTTTTTAGAATAACTTTTTGTATGAAAAATAATATTTTAGTATTCAATAGAGTTTTAAGAACTTGTTTTTGAAAAAAATGTTTATATAAAATAATTTGTTTTTTTTTATCGACACAAACGCTGATAGCAGACTTTTCGGTTTATTCAATTTTTATTTTCTTAAAGTGGGTATTATTTTGTATTGTTAAACTTTTTATACCTAATAAATATGCTTTCTTTAAATGTCTTTTTTACTTTCAATAACTCTAACATAACATTCAGAACACAAATTATCAGTTTGACAACATGGAGTCCCAGGGACTTTACCACATCGTTTGTGTAAAATTAATTGACCACGTTGGTTAAGGGTTTATAATGGAACAAAGACATTGTTTTCGTCCATAAATCTGAATTTGGCGAGTTTTTAAGCGATGAATCTTATCCTAAACCCTTTGAAAAATTCCCACGTGTAGAAAAACCTCCGCAGTCGGCGCACCTACAGCTTATTTATCCGAAAAATATCTTACTCGTGTATTAAGCATCGAAAATAAAAAGAAATCTCACTCAATCCACTATTTACAAAAGTAAAAATAGATTTTTGGACGCCGTAGAGAGCTGTGCTAATATCCGAACGTAGCATATCGAGCTTCAGTCCAGTTCTCAACACTAAGAGACGCCGATCTCCGAATTTTCTCGCCTTTTTGCCCCTCGAAAATCCGAAAAAATGGTTTATGAAAGCGATTTTTATACGACCAGGAGGCCCTACCGTGCCTCTCCTTCCGTATCGTCTTACACAATTTCGGTAAGTCAGATTTTATGTTTTCAAGTGTTTTTTTCACTTAGAATGCTTTAGTGGCTAACAATTAAAAGTCTATATTTGGCAAAAAATAATACCTACGCGATTGCAAAAGCAATTATATATCTTACTTTAAAATATTTACATTTAAAAATCCAACCAAGTTTGTTCAACAAACCGTACAATTAATTTTTCTATGTTTGGTCAGACTAGGTGAATAAAAAAAGTTTTTCGTGCTATTGTGGAGTAGTCCAAAGTAGTTAAACGGTTAAATTTGCTTTTTGTACTATTTTTTTTAACTAATCAATTTGAAAGCACACCTGCTAACTTATGTAAGCTACCTAAGAAAATATTAATAGATCGATTATGGTTAGATAAATTTTCATTCTCATCTAATAATAAACTTATACTTATAAACATGGTACCAATTTGACATTGTCTTCTATTGTATAGATATCTATATCTTTTGTAATTCTAATTTCATTTTAATATTTATTTTATTTTAACTTCTTCTTAAGGTGCCTTCACCATTACTGAAGGTTGGCTGTAACTGCAGGAAATTGCTCTCTATCTTGAGCTGTTATTAATATCGAATGTGTGTCCATTCCTGTCCAGTCTCTTACATTCCTCAACCAGGAGCATTTTCTTCTTACTGGACCTCTTCTTCCTTGCACTTTCCCTTCCATCAGTGGCGACTAGTGGCTTGAGAGACAAGGTCGGCAAGGTATTTTTTGTCTTCTCAGATAGGTATACCGTCTAATAAAGACTTCAATCATCATAGGAGAATTTTTTGTTTTCTTGTTTTTTTTTTTTTTTGTTTTTCCTATAAATTTAGAACCTAAACATGTTTATAAATTAACTCTAGTCTACGTTATTTGGAAGTAGCAAAATGGGTAATAACGTCATCGTAAAATTTATTAGAGTTTTGGAGAGATTTTAAAAGTTTTTTTTCTATTGACATTTGAGACAATCTTGACATTCTCTCTTGTTTCATGGTATTTCGACAATAAGTTTTGATTCTTTTGAGGCAAGAGAAATCTCGTTCATTTGAGGCAGACGTTGGTGGTAATGAGAGAATTAATGACAATAATTTATTAATTTCGGTAACAGTTTGTTGTAATGAATTGCAGTATATAAAATTATACATATCTTGTAACTTATTCCATCTTCCGAAAATATTTGGATCAGCACATAAAATTTTTAATTCATTTTCTAATTTTATTTTATTAAAGAATGATGGATAATTTTTAATTAACCTGTCTAATAAATATCTTGGAAATTCTTTGGCGTAACTTTTAAATTTTGAATCGTCAAAGAGGTCAAAAATTTGCAAATCTTCAAACGTCGAAAAACGAGTATCTATTTGCATAATAATAGTATCCAAAATTCCAAAATATACTCGTTTTTCGAGATATGTTTCTGTGTCATGCCTTTGTCTTTTTTTTGGGGTTCGGAAATATCAAGCGAGTCCAAAACGTCACTGCGTATATACTGGAAATTACTATCATTACGAAAATCTCTGAGACGAGAATATTCACGGATCGAGATATCATCACTTTCAAAATCGTCACATTCAATAATAAAATCAAAAACTTCCAAAAGCTGTTCACGAAAATCTGCTACAGTGAAAACTAACCGAGATTTATAATTCCATCGGGTCTGACAGACTGTTGGCATTTTTTTCGAAACAAACCGTTCTAAAACATTAGTCCATTTAGGCGAGCTTGAGAAAAATGAAGCAAATCCGCTTAAACTGGCAAAAAAAGACGACATTCTTTAATTTTTTTTACATGTATCTTGCAAAACTAAATTCATTCTATGCGCATGACAATGAGTAAATAAAGCTTGCGGTGCACTAGTTTTAACTTTTGCCTGGAGACCATTTCCGCTCACGCAGCGCGTCATAGTTTGCCCTACCAATTTATTTTTGATATCAAAAAATTTTAATCTGTCCTTTAAAACACCAAAAATATGTTCTACCTTATGGCTTTTACTTACGTCTGTAAAACCTAAAAACCTCTCATATATATTACCACGTAACGCGTATCGAACAACAATTGATAATTGTGAATGACATGATATGTCGGTAGTTTCATCTACTTCTAGTGAAAAGCAAATGGTTTCCTGAATCTCAGATTTAATAAAGTTACTCAAAATGTAACTAATTGATTCTATTAATTCATTCTGGATTGTTTTAAATACACCGCTAAATGTCTTCGAATCAGAAAGTAAATTAGAAAATTCCAAATCGTATTTCTTAAACCTTTTTATTAGTTCTCTATAATTATCTTGATTTAACGAATGCTCCGATTCATCGTGTCCCCTAAAAGATAATTCCTGACAACTTAAAAAAATTACAATATCAATTAAACGACGTAAAACTGCGTGATTATTTTTTACAATTTCATTATGTTTAATAGCATTTTTACGTTGGGCATTATCTAATGAAACATAGATATTTTGTTTTCCAAATAAATCTAATTTAATCTGGCTGTAAGTATGATCTTTCGAAATATCATGTTTATGTAAAGCCCTAAATAATTCCTTTAAATTATCGTAACCAAATTCACACCACGGATTTTGATGTTTGCCCCTATTTGTCGAAAATAAAATGCAAGGCCATAGAAAAGTTTGTTTTTTATTTCACTCCTGGTAAGCCATGAGTACTTGCTGTACCAATTATCTGAAAATGATCTATTACTTCCCTTACCGCACTAATATTTATAAGCCGGGACATTTTACGCAAAAGACGGCCCTTATTTTTAATAACAATTTGTTCTTCGTATGGAATAGATGAAAACCCATTATGCAAAATATAATTTACAATATCAGACTTATCAATACTTACAGTTTCTCCCATGGCTTGCATTTTTTAGGGTAATTTACCTGAATTTGTTTACACTTTAGTTAAAAAAAACTTCTAATATGTCAAAAAACCCTTTAACTTTTAACTATTTACGGCAGACGTAACGTATCACAGTATTACTTTAGAAAATAAAAATAAATCACAAAAAGAAAGGCTAGTTCGTGCACTGAATATCACTTCACAGGAACGTAGATTACTTGTGGACTTCACTTTACTACATATGAAATAACATTTCGTCCCACGCTCGCAATGTACAGTTCGCGACCAATCACCAATCCAAATGAAACATCGGCAAATTTAAATTTGCCGTACTTGGTAATTAAGTTCATATGGAAAGAAATGTATATTTGGTTGCTAATCAACCAATATTCCGTTGATTTTTACAAGTAAAGTCAAGGTTGGGATCGGCTAGCCGAAAAAACAAAACGTGCCTTTTTAAGAATTCATAGGCGGGTGGATGTCTCCGATATCGAATCATCTATTTGAAAAGTGTCTACGCAGGGATCACTTAACGCTCAGATTGGACGAATTCTTTTAAAAACCATGAATAAAATTTAGTCTTTATTATCTCACAGATATTTTTTTAGTTTACAAAAACAAATGACATCAACTGATTACCTGCCACAATTATTTATTGAAATACTGATTAAATTAAATATTAAAAAAGTCTATAATATCTATAAAGATGTGGGTCGGCACTGCCGACCCTGCCGACCCTGACCGGCCGCCACTGCCTTCCATTATAAGTCTACTTATTTTAACTACAAAACTGTATACCAATATAAATGAGTCAGATAAAATTAAATTATTAGAAAAATTTTTCACTATGTAACAAAAAACAAAATTTGTTTAATTTACTGTTTGTATTTTGAGAACGATTTCCGAAGTGGAAATTGAAACGTCAATAAACGTATTTTTATCTTTAATTGTGGCTTATTCCCAGTTAAATAGTAATTAATTCTGTTTTATTTGTTTATTAATTTCTTGATATTTAATTTTATCTTTATTCCTTAACCTTATAATTCTGTAATCAGAGCATATGGTGGCATTGGCCTTTTTGGGGAGAGGGATGAAGGTGGAAACTATGAAGGTGGAAAAAATCTGCATTTGTTAATATCTCAATGATTGATTTTTTAGGATTTCCTGAAAACATTTCTTTAACCTTGTTATGGGTGTTGAAAGTGTCATACCTTGCCCCAAATTCCTCAATTTCTTGACATTTAATGGACATCCATGTTGTCTTAGTTTGTTATATTTTCTGTTTTATTTGTTTATTAATTTCTTGATATTTAATTTTATCTTTGTTTCTTAAGCTTATAATTCTGTAATCAGAGCATATGGTGTCATTTGCCATTTTGGGAGAGGGATGAAGGTGGAAACTAGCCAATATGTAGGAAGTTTTGCAGTTTTATAGATTTTGTTCAGTAGACTCGTTCGGAGTTTGAGTTGGTTGTCTTCAAATAGTTTCAATATTTTAGCTTGTATGTTATCAGATCCAGGTGCTTCGTTGGTTTTTAGTCTTTTTATCGCATATGTTACTTCACTCAGCGTTTTTTCTGGTCCTAAACATTCAGAAACACTGACTTCTGTATCTTGGTCTTTCTTGAATAATTCTTCCATGTATTGCCTCTATCTCTCGAGTATTCTCTGATTTTCGTAAAACAGATTGTTGTGCTCAAGTTATGACTTCGTGATCTGTTTCCTCCAGTTAAGTTTTTGATCTTTTTATGTAGGTTAAAAGTATCATGCTTCTGTTCTAGGGATTCTATTTCTATGCATTAACCTTGTAGCCATGATTCTATTGCTTCTTTAATCTTTTTCTTAGTGACTTTGTTTATTTCTTTGTACCTTTTCTCATTCTTATTTCTGTATTTTTTTCGTTTTTCCATTAGCTCTAATATTTCTAGTTTCATCCACAGCTGTTTCTTTAGATTGTTTTCTGGTTTCAGTTTATTATCTACCACCGAATTACAGATATTTTTGACTTTATCCTATATATCATCCACACTTGTGTTTTCTTGATTAATATCTGAGATTACCATGCTGTTTATTTTGTTGTTGATCTCCTCTTTGACTTCGTCTCTTGTGGTTTTATTTTTCAACTTCTGGATGTCCGGACGTTTTTCTGCTTTTCTTTTAT